CCAGTACCAACCGTGCCCCAGGACTGGGTCCACGGCGCCCCGCCCCGCAAACCCTGGTGCTGCTGCGGAACTGTCCCTGGGACCAACACGCGGGCCCTCTGCCTCTCAGAACCCGCAGCCAGCGCAGGACCCCGGCCCCACCACCGGCAGCATCCCCCACCCCCACAGCACCCCAGGCAGCACCCCAGACTGATTATGGAAGGGCTCTGCTGTCACACCACCTGCCCTGTCCCACGGCCGTCAGAGGGACACGACCAGTGCCCGTTGGAGGGAGTGCCAGCACACGTGTGCTTGGCGCCCAGCCAGCCGGTGTACACTGACCTTGAAATTTCTGCCTAGTCCTTCACTATCAACCTCTGCCTCACGTTTAAGAATTTCTCTGGTAGATGTGTGTGTGTGTGGTGTGTGTGTGTGGTGTGTGTATCTGTTATGTGTGTGTGTGGTGTCCATATGTATTTCTGTTTGTGTGCATGTGTGCATGTGTATGGTATGTATGTGTATGTATCTGTTGTGTGTGTGTGGTGTGCATACGTGTCTGTGTCCGTGTGCAGGTGTGTGTGGTGTGTGTACCTGTTTTGTGTGTGTGTGCGGTGTGCATATGTATCTGTGTGTTTATGTGCAGGTGTGTGTGGTGTGTGTGTATCTGTTGTGTGTGTGTGCGGTGTGCATACGTGTCTGTGTCCGTGTGCAGGTGTGTGTGGTGTGTGTACCTGTTTTGTGTGTGTGTATGTTGTGCATATGTATCTGTGTGTCCGTGTGCAGGTGTGTGTGGTGTGTGTGTGTGCGGTGTGTGTGTGCGGTGTGCATGTGTATCTGTGAGTTCGTGTGCAGGTGTGTGTGGTGTGTGTGTATCTGGTGTGTGTGTGTGCGCGGTGTGCATACGTGTCTGTGTCCGTGTGCAGGTGCGTGTGGTGTGTGTGTATCTGGTGTGTGTGTGGAGTGTGCATACGTGTCTGTGTCCGTGTGCAGGTGTGTGTGGGGTGTGTGTTGGCAGGAGGGGAACAGGAGGGACAGCAGGAGACCCATCTCCTTCAATGGGAAGAAATGACCCCATTTGCAACATGCGGCTCCATCCTCATTGTGTGTCATCTGATGACGCACCAGACGCCATCCGTCCCCGACCGGGGGTGGAGAGGACTTGGGAAGAATTTAGTGGCAGGCTGGTCATTTGCTGTTGTGTGTGTGCTGAGAGCCCTCGCATGTGCCTATGAGCCACTCCCCAGCGCTGCGGGGACACCAGTGACCCCGTGTGCGCAGGCGCCGTGCAGTGAGTGGCTGTCTCATCTCACACGTGGTCACCGGTGGGTAAAGCTATAGTAATGAAAATGCAGTACGAAGGCGACGGTGAGCGGGAATCTTAAAGTAAAGGCATTTAGAGCAGCCTAAGAATTTGGGCCTAAATACGAACAGAAAGACAGTGCAGGGCCCTAGTGTGCAGGTGCCTCAGAGGCCACCAGCCAAGGACGCCTGGGGCGGCCGTCTGCCTGGAGCAGGGTGTCCAGCGTCGCTCCAAAGGCCGTTTGGGGCCCTGTGGTCACAGCACCGAGTGACTCGGAGCCCCAGAGTCTGCTATCAGAGGGCAGTGTTGGGAGAGCAGGCAGCTGAGTCCAGCACGAGCCAACCTAGCCCTGTGATGTGCAGGGCCGGGAACACCCCAGGGGACATCCCCGAGCGCAGGGGGCAGCCCCAGAGCAGGCCGATTGCAGGCGGACTTCAGCTTTCAGCACCTTAGGTCTGGACAGAGGACACAGCTGTGGCAGGTTTTCTGATGTGAAGATGGGCAGAGGGAAGGGTGACTGTCCCGTCACAGGCTGGCTTCTTCCAGAATGACTCGCGATGGTCAGTATTTGCCTCTGTGTTTCATGGAACGTCCATAATGCCCTAACTCAGAATCAGAACTTGTAAGGAACTCCCGCTCTCACTATACACGGGAAACAAACAGGGCCCCGAATCCACTGCCCAAACCACGCCCCATCGGCGACAGCACTTTATAATTCAAAGGTGACCTTTGCCACCCGTCGGCCACATTTAAAAAGTCCGACCTTCCACCCATGTATTTCAGTAAACGCACGTCATGCTCCTTTATTTCCATCGACCACGTTCTGCAGGGCACAGGCCACTCTCGGCCAACAGACGGAACGTCTTCACCAGTTCCCACCTTGATGGTGTCACCTCGAGCCGCCTCGTCCTGGCCGATGTCCCCTTGGGCCCACGCCAGGCAGGCCGGGACCCTCACAACCACACGCTGCAGGCTCAGCTACGTGCACCTCTGGAGAGTGCGTGAGGTGCCGGACACAATGTGCACCCGAGGAGGCCGCAGCCCGAGGCCAGCTGCTCAGACCACGCGCTGCCGACTGTTTTCTCCACTTCTTCCTCGCCGGCAAGTGACAGCGAGGGACACTGGCTCTGGCTGCCTGGCAGATACGGGGACAGGGGCTCCCGCTTTACAAAGGGACGGTCATTAGCATCCTTTGAGGATCTTCACTGAGGCGAGAGGCGCTGATGGCAGGTTTGTTTGTTGGGTTTTGA